TAGATTTAAAATATTAAAAATTAATTTGAATAATTACATCAATGCAAAATGATCAAATACATATACTTCTTGCTTCTATCAAAACAAATGTGATTCCAAGTACTCTAAAAATTTACATAAATGATCAAAGCAACAATCATTAAATTTAAATATTAAAACTAATGTTTCACATGTAAACTACTCAACTCTCCCATAATATTGCTATAAAACTCAACAAAATTCATATCCATTCCAATCATAAATGATAATAATAATAAAAATCTTAATCTCCTCTTCATTACCGATTATTATTTAATATATTAATTTTAAAAAATCAAATAGCTTCAATTTAGCAGCAACTTCAAAACTAGAATATTCCTAAAAAATTAAAGAAATATATATATATATAATAGAATTACTTGAAAGATGGATGGATTATTTAACAAAAACTATTGAACAAACCTTATTTAGCCCCTAACTCATATATTTAAGAGATGCATGTCAAACTCTTGAAATATTTAACATATATATTGATATGTGTTAGGACTCTTGAAATATATCAATTATTTATAGAATATATTATAAAGTTATAACGATAAATATAACTCTAGAGGCTCTTAAAAAGTCACCTAGAAACCGAATACTTTTTTTAGAAGCTAATGCTCATAATTTAAATATTCAAGTACCTAAATTATCACAATAAGATCAACTTGTATGTCTAGATTGTTGGAAATTCAAACCAACACTCCTAGCTTCAAATGAAAATAGATTGAGAGATATAAAGTCATATATTATCTACAACAAATTTTAGATTGACTTCATAAACAATAAAGCCCAACTAAAATTCAATATTTGTAACAAGAAATTAAAGAAATAAAAAAATTATGACAAATTCAACATATTCATAATAAAACTTAACTAAAATTATTATTGTTAAATATTATTTTTCAGATAATTTTTTTTTTATAAATCAATAATTACTTGCAACACCTAAGGCAATATAGTAACTCAAATTCCATATGAAAATTTTATATACACAATACAAAAATAAAATTTAAAAAATAGTATATTAAAATAACATTAATCATTAATAATGAATTTCGAATCAAAACCATTGTTCTTGTGATTTTTAGAGCAAATCAAAATTGTATTCAAGAAGGATTAATGACAACTAAATGTTATGAAATGACCACAAGAATATTTTTATATTTCTAAGAATATTTTTATATTTATTAGAGATACGTCACAAGAATATTTTTATATTTATTAGAGATACGACTCTACAAATCATTTTAGAAACTCCTTTCTTAACTCAAATATATTCTTTTAAATTTAGCAGTCAAGGATTCAAAACAAGAATATTTGGTCAAGAAATAATTTTTAGACTTAAATTATTTCCTATGCTAATAGAAATAATTTTTTTAAAAGTAAGTCAATTTATAAAATCAATTTTTGTAATTTAGAAGAAGAAATACCTACACTAATTAAATCAAGAAGTATATTATCAAAAAATTAAAGAAGATATTAAACTTCCTCAAAATAAAGAAAAAGTCAAACAATTTCTAGAATTATTTGAAAATAAGATTTTTTTTTCAATTTATCAAATATCTTTTGGAATAGAAAACATCATATGGTCCAATTACCCTATAAAAAAGGGACTTAATAAAATAAAAATCTCTATAGAATCTATACTTATTCAAATGAATCAATAATTACTCAAATATGTCAAAATAAAAATCAATGAACTACTTAAAAAAAGTTTATTAGGATAAATAAATTTTATTAGTCTTGTGCCGCTTTATAAGTTCCAAACCAAACTTAAATTAAACATGAAATTCCAAGACAAATCATCAATTACAAACTACTTAATCTAGTTTTTTAATAGATTAAACATCCTATTCCAAATAAAAAAAAAGATCTCATTGAAAGACTTCATATTGCTTCAACACTTTTAAATTTTGATATAAATTTTGATTTTTGGGAAATTTGAATAAATAAAAAGGATCGTTATAAGACACATTTAATTGTCCCTTTTGGACATTACAAATAGAATGTAATGCTCTCCGATTTCAAAAATATCCTTTTAAAATTTCAAAAGATCATGAACGATATTTTTAATTTTTATTCAAAATTCTCAATTGTCTATATAGATGATATCCTAATGTTTTCAAAATCAATTAGCAAATATTTTAGTTATTTACCAAAAAAAAATCAATATTATCAAACAAAATGAACTAGTTGTCTTACCTTAAAAAAGCAAAATATATCAAACAAAAATTAGATTATTAGGATATGATATTTATCAAGGATCAATAACTTCAATTAGCATAACAGTTGAGCTTGTTACTAAATTTTCTAATGAAATTAAGGATAAAACTCAATTTCAAAGGTTTATTAAATGTCTCAATTATGTCATAGATTTCTTCTCAAATCTTAGAATAATATGTCAACTCCTCTATAAGAGGCTTAAGAAAAATCCTTACACTTAGAGTCCTTAAATGATCGAAATCATCATGTCTCTCAAAAGTCATGCTAAAAGTCTTTATTGTCTAGATATTCCAGATTTTAAGGCTTTTTCTCATTATAAAAATTGATGCTTCAGATATAGGTTATAGAGGGATCTTCACATAAAAAGTTTAAGATTATAAACAGGTTATCTAGTACCATTTTAGTATATGGTTGGGTCTTTAAACAAAATATTTAAATATTAAAAAAAGATTTTATTAATTGTTTTATGTATATCTTTTTTTAAAGAAGATCTATTTTTTTAAAACAATATTCTTTTAAGAATTGATTATTAATCAAAAAAAAAATATATTCTTTTAAGAATTGATTATTAATCAATAAAATATGTCATTGAAAAGGATGTTCAAAATATTATTTCATAGCAATTTTTTACCAATATATACTTTTAAATTTTGATTTTGAAATAGAATTTATAAAAGGTAAAACTAATTCTATTCTATATTTTCTATCTAAAGATTTTTTTATAAAGTTCAAGATAAGCATCTTAGTTAAAAAACCTAAATAGACATATACTATTATTCTTTCAAGATAAATTCACTTAACCACAAATCTTTTTAATTCAACCTATGTTAGGCCTCCTTTAATGAGACCAACTTCTATCTTAACCAACTAGTTTTCAATCATGTCAAACTTTTATAGTCCTCCCTCTTTACTATTAAGCTATTTTCAAGCTTTGCAAACCCCACATTCCTAATGTTTTTCCTTTTCAATTCCAATTTTTCAGAAAAGAAAGAAGTGCAAAAAACCAAGCAATTTTATGAATTCATCTTGATTGATACTAACTGAATTGAGATAACTCATAATCATAATACAGACAATCCTTCTAGAATTGTATATTAAAAAATAAAAAATTTAAAACTTTTAACCTATAAATACTAAAACCAAAGTGCTTATACCCAGAAAAGATCTTCTCAAAACTTTCAACCTTATAGATTCAGTTATCTTGATTATCAATAAGCATAGTCCAATAATCTTTATCTAATTTTTTTTTATCATTCTTGGATTATTCATTTTAATAAAAACTAGCTAAAGAATATTCCAATATGATTTTCAAATAGATGATGGTAATATTTCTCTCTTATAAATTAAATTCTACCTCAAGAGACTTCAGAAGCTTTGAAACTATTTACTTCAGGGTCCCTTATATATATATCATATTAGGATTTCATGATAATATATGACGCGTATGAAGAAATTAACTATGGTCCATATCTCATGAGAAATATTAAGGTCAAATGGTGGCCTTAATTCAATGCAGACCAAGCCTATTCTCAAGCTGTTCAATCCTTGTTATAGTTTTCTCAAACTCAAACTGCACCATCATTGTCAACCTCAGCTCAATATACATTATTAATTTCAAAAAGCAAAATTTAAACTCATTTTATATCTTCCAGTTCTAAATCTTAAAACAAAAGGAAACTACAAAAAACCTTGCCATATATTTCAAGTTCATTTGATGAAGAAGAAGATCATATATCAGCCAATGAAGATCCAAATTATAGTCCTGATATAATAGAACAATTTTATAACCTTTATACTCATCAATGCTTATCCGTATCAATAATGATACCAGACAGTTCAATAATTTAGATTCTTTTATAACATTATCCATATGCTAGCATCCACTTTGACAAACCGATAAATCTTTAAAATAATTTTAAAAATCTTATCCTCATATAATAGTAACAATTTTTACATAATAGACAATTATTAATATCAACTTTAAAAACTTTCCCTTAAAATAATTTTAAAAATTTTATTCTCATATAATAATAACAATTATTAATATCAACTTTAAAAACTTTCATATGTGGTGATTCTCTCTTCCACTTGATAGATAATGTCTCATTCAACAAATGTTATTTATTATAATTTCATAATTAAAGCATGTTTAAAGTCTGTGTCTCAATTATAAATATATAATGTTTTTGTTTGTAGAGGAGTGGTTTTTAGAATTGATTTTAGTTTTAGTTTTAAAGAATAATTATTTTTATAGTTTTTTTAAACCATCATGTAATCTATTTCTCTTTTTAATCAAATATTTATGTTTTTATAGTTTTTGCATGTAAATACTATTAAAAAAATATAAAATTTTGATCAAATTTAATATATCATAATTAATAATTTTTTACTATCAAATCAAGAAAAAATTTTCTTTTATAAGAGCCATAAAAAGAGGAGAAAAAAAATAAAATTATTATGATTTAATGCTAAAATTGTTTTTTAGGGCATATCAATACTTATAACAGCGCTTTGGATGGAAGCCCTTAACGTGCACCTGAAAATATTTAACTATCACTGTGGATGGATTAAGAAGTGATGTTGTTTTATGTTCATCACGTATAGAATAAAATTAACAAATTAAAAAAGTTCGGCACTCAAATTGGTAAGAGGGGATATGCGAGGGGTTAATTTGAGGTTAGAATAACATGCTTTTCTTTATATCAAGAACAAATTCTCATGAGAATCCAAACTTGTAAAGAAGAGTAGCAAGTTGTAGATGGGAGTGCTCCTTTTCGTCGACGACAAATAATGGGCTGGAAGCAGCTAGTCTTGGATCACATCCGACTCCTCTAAGAAAGAACTTTTTTTTTTTTGAAGATCATGATCATGATCATGGGTCAAGCATCTTTTATCACTTTCTCTACCACAGAAAGTAACTGTTATAGGTTCTTGTGAAGTGAGTGGAGGAGGGATTCTCAAAGCAATTGCATTTCACCAATGAAAACAGAAAAGAAGAAAAAAGCTAGGTTCTTGGTTGTCCAAAATCATGCTGTTCTATATATAATTGAATGCAATGGCAGTGAGAGAGCAGCTCCTCAAATTCAAGAAAGCTACGGCATTTCTTGTTTGTCTTGAAGAAGAGAGATATGGGTAGAGGAAAATTCAAAGGCAAACCTACAGGTCGTCGCCATTTTTCTACGCCTGAAGAACTTAGTCAGTACTTTCCCCTCTCCCTTCCTCTCTTATTTAAATGCATTTTATGTCCTTTTTTCATGTTTTTTTTTTAATTTATTAATGCATTTTAGTGTAAACTTATCAACTTTAGAATCTAGTTTTCATTTTGATTTCCTCAGCCTCGCAGTTTCTATAGCATTACTTCTTTAGAAGCCCAATCTTAGAGCTTTATGGAAATTGATAATAATCCTTGATGTCCTGCTGTTTCAGTTTGAATTTGGAGCTGTACTTTTCTATTCTACAATTAGTTTAGCAGATATAAATAGAATGAAATATCATTCAATTTACTTTAAGGAATTCCATACATGGTGAAATGTTCAGTTCACTTAAAAAAAAAAGAAAAAAAATCCAAATACAGCTTTGTTCTTTTTTCAAAGCATTAGCTTCCATGGATGGGATCATCAAGTATTTTGAAGAATATGGTCTTGACTTATCGTTGATTGAACAGTCTTGATTGTTTGTAATACTTTCATCTCATGTAAACCCACTTTATGATCTCTTGCATTTATTTTTTAAATGATTGCAGTTGCTGGTACCACCGCCACTCGCCCTCGCACTTTTAGTCAGGTATCACCCTCCGAGTAGTACCCCATACTTCAGAGGTTTTTATGACTACGAATTGCATAATAGATTTAAGTTTTTCAATTTTAGATATTAGGTCTTAAAACATGTTTCCTTGTGCTAGTCAGTAGTTTTATGGTTTTTCCACTGTTTTGTCGAAATATGATCTGTGGTTTGTTTTGGCATACTTAATAGACAAATTTCATGTAGCACCATATCTATGAAAGTTGGATGAGATGGTAGAGAGTTATTATCTTCTCCATTTTATGAGTTCGAAGTTTTTGACAATTATATTTGATACCATTAATATCCCAATCTCTCATTTTTTGTCCATTCTAGCTAGTATAGTGAACATGAAAGTGCGAACATGTTTTTTCTCTCATTTTTTTTTCTTTTGTATTTGATATGTCTATATGATCCTATTTCGGATTGTTTATTGGAAAACAAGTCAACGAACTAAGAATTTTCTGTACTCAGTTGTTTATAGTTGTTCTCTCTTCTCTACATATATATAGTGTGCTGGATTATACATATTGGAAGTTGTAAATGTGCTTCAGTACATGATATAGAAGTCTGTTTGAACATTTCAGGAAGAAGCAGCAGAGAATGTAGAAGAAGAGTCTGAAGAGGAGTTGGAGGAACCATCTCAGGTCAGTGACCTTGGGTGTCACAATTATGCTTTTGGGTTTCTTTCTTTAATTTTTGGCCTGAAATTGGCTCCTAATTTTGGCAGAAGCAGAAAGGTACCCTGGGACTCATTGAAATCAACAACCCTAATTTAGTAAAACCAAAGAATTTGAAGGCTAAAGATGCTGATGTAAGTTGTCTCACTTTCAAATTGCACACCGTTTCAATTTTTTTTTTAAGTTTAATTGTTTAAGAAATCAAAATTTCATTATCCAGATTGGCAAAATAACCGAACTCTCAAGGCGTGAGAGGTTAGCTACTTTCTTGCTTCAATCCATTTTAAGCAGTAATATGCTTATGCATGTGGTCATTGTGTGAGTGTGGAAACTAATTCTCTGCACACTGATTCGATTATATTAATTTTTTTTGACTCAATTTGTTTTTACCTTAGCGATATGGCTCATGACCACATTCTATTGAAAGTGCTAGGATTTATTTGAATTTTTGAGTTTCCATGTTTACCTTGTTACCCCTACATTTTTTAGTATTATAGTTTAGCAACTTAGAAGTTAATCCAATGTGAAGACTTTCACACCAATTATTAGAGATTTTGGGATCTCGTGGAGCGCAACAAGCATATTTTTTTTTATTTACCCAATGAGTATTATTATTATTATCTCTCTCTTCCAATTCATTTAGGATGCCTCCATCAATATTCAATGTGATGAAGGTGAAGAAAGGACCAAGGAGTTCCCTTTTATTGTGATACCTGATAAAGGCTTTCTAGCAGATGACACTCACTGTGTAAATGCCTATAGGTGGTCTGATTCCATATTTCAATTTCTCATAGGGGATGCAGTGATACATCTAAGAAATTATTCCATCAAACATACTGTCAGGAATAGTGACATGGACTCAATGTCCTACCAAGCCTCTTGCTTAATTGTTTTTTGAAATTGTTCAGTCAACTTGCCATGATCCATCCTCTTCTCTACACTAAAAAAGAGAAGTAACAAGGAATATTATTCGAATCCATTGTTACGTATCTGAATGGATGATTAATAGTTTTCTTTTATCAAGGAAAATGATTTTTATTGAAATAGTGGGTGACATATAATAAGATTGTACATTATATCAAGATAAGCTGTACCACTTATCATTCTGAACAGTGCTTTATGGTCTGGGTTTTAGAACATATGATCCATTAATAGAGAAATTCTCATGCATGAAGTGGTGTTATGGTGTGATTGTCTGGATGATGTTCACCTCTTTGGAGTGTACAGACTCAAATTATTTAATGTACAGGCTAGATATCCTTGGATTGTGAAAATAAACCTCATTCTCCTGAAGGCAGAACAAGTCTTGACTGTATGTTTTTATTAAAAATAAAACTGCATGGCTCTGTGGTTGATTTCCTGTTGCTGCTGCTGTTTGTCCCTTGTATATTCTGATGCTTCCAGGTGTCTATTTGAGGGGTTCCATTGTTGACTTACTTTGAGCACTCTTGCTTGTAGAGTGGAAATAGAAAAACAGAAAGCTCATGAACGATATATGAAGCTGCAGGAACAAGGAAAAACTGAACAATCAAGGAAAGATTTAGGTAATTACTGGATATTGAATATCTTACCAACTTGTGTTTTTACCTTTTTCCTGATACTTCATTGAAGTTTTTACATAATTTTGTCATAGCCTGCAGTAGGAAATGGTAGTACCTATTGAATCAAACTTGTCCTGAAGTTATATGTTGGGTTTTCTGTCAACCATTTTTTGATTTGCATCAAATCGGGGTTGCAATAAATAACTGGCTGTGGTCTAGTGTCTTAACAATTCTTTCCTTTTGGCTTTTCCCCATCAGCCTGATAAGTTTGATTAAAGGTGATCAAGACCTCTTTTTTTTTTTTTTTTTTCATCCTAGTAATTAAAATACCTAGGGGCACATATGAATTCCTGCTTCTGTATAATGGCATCGCTTGGTTAGGCATACAAATAGAATATGTATTAGGAGAAGGTGAAGGGAACTGTCTTAAGGCCGATTTGTTTAACTATTTTTTAGATTTTTAGATGGAATCAACTCCACAGGTTTGTATCAAATCATAATTTTCTTGGAAGATCTTTTCCCTCCAATTTACAAGAGCACTACTGGTTTTTTTGACCCAGACTAGAAGGGAGTATTATGGTATGGTTTGTTGAACACGATCTTCCATTTAAGTTCATTAAGGATATTCAGAAACTACATCAATGGAGAAACAGATTTGATTGAAAACAGAATGATGTAAATGACAATGTTGCTGTTAAGAAGCAAGGTTTCTGAAAAACTAGGATATCATAATTGTGTTTCTTAGTTGATAGTTGAACGAGCGATCTAATGAACTTATCCTTGAAGTTAAAGATCTTATACCATCATCTGCTTTTGTTGATTTTAAATGCAAAGAAACTGCAATCTTTCACTTGAAAATTATAGTTGGTCTTGAATCTATGTCTTGGCTAGGTCCCAATATATTTTTCACCAAAAAACATAATGAAACAAAGAAGAAGAAAAAAGAAAAAATTGTAAATCCAGGACTATCCGATAATGTTTCTTTTGGGAGTCCGTACACTGCAATTTCTGAACCCATTTTCGCACTTCTTTAGTTGTCCCATTCCTCTCTCTGTATTTATACCAGCTGATTTCTCTGTTGTGTTTTGTAGCCACCCCATTTTCCTTCTCTACATTATTTCTGGAAAGCACCTGACAAACCTCTCTAATTTTGCCCTTGTTCATTGGTTTTGATGATTTGAACCCATTTTTCTTTCTAGATGTCCTCTCTTTTCATGGTTTCTACTGATACAACATTGTTCCTTGCAGAACGCTTGGCCCTGATACGCCAACGAAGGGCAGAAGCTGCTAGGAAGCGAGAAGAAGATAAAGCTGGTAATGCCCTGTTTGCCTGCCCTCTTTTTGCTTCACTTCATCACATTTTTATTAAAGTATTCATGGAAAGTAAGTTGGAAGCATAAAGTTGTTGAGTCAACTTAGGGCCATTGCTATATATGTGTTAAATGTTTTTTTCAGTGGAAGCTAATACTAGTTTCATCGATTCTGTCAGCCAAGGAACAGAAAAAGGCAGAACCTCAGAGATGAACAGGTTATCAAACCAGCTAATTACCTTTTGTCAGTCTCAAGACTTATATAGTGAAAAAAAGATGAATTATTATTGTTAGGGTATTTATGTAATTGTATACATACTTTATATATATGCGTGTGGGTCTATAGTAAGACACGCAACACTTCTAACTCTTTCCTCTCTCTCTTTTCTTCCTTTCTTCTTCATGCTCTCCTTCTCCTTTCTCTACTTTCAGTTATTTCAATCTAAGAAAACCAACGTGGTATCATAGCTCTGCATACTAACAAAAGTTAGCCTTGTGTTGGCATCAATGGTGACATCACGCTAATGCCAGCATGATGTAAATGTGTCAGATAGCATCCTTTTCCTGTTTTTGAAAGCTCTTTTACCCAACAACAAAAGTCCATAGTTTCAACCAAAAATGATGTAATTTACTTTGCTAATTTGTAGAGAGATGGTTTGATAAAAAGGTCATGCTTGATTTTTTTACATTATCTAGCTGTTAGGGACTGTTTGATCAAGGTATTTGATTTTTTTTTTTTTTGAAGATATGCTTAGCTGAGTTTGTCTTGGATTTTAAGGATTAGCAAAAGTTTTTAAGATTGATTTTGGCTCAATTGTATTGGTTTAGAAATAATGAAAATAAGTTCAGGAGAAAACTCGAAAAACACTACTAATAAGAGTAGTGGAAGTTGAGTTGGAGCTTTTATTGATAATCCCTCATTTTAGAACATTCATGAGTGTTAAAGGAATTAATGCTCTATTTAAAATTACCTTCTATACTTGTAAATATTTTATTTTTTTATTTGTTAGGATAGTAATTGTAAACTAGTTGTTAGAAAAACATGTATATAATAGTTTAATTATTTCAGAGGAGCTAAAGTTTAGCTTGTGATTGTATTCAAAATAAATAATGATTCTTAAGGGAGAGAACTTAACTTTTCTAGCTCAAAGTTTTCTAAGTTTGTCATAGTATGGAAGCCTTTCTCAGCCTAACCCTAGTTCCATCTTTGTTTGTCTTCCATGTATCTTGTCTTTAAATCCATCTTAGTACCAACCCTAGTTCTATCTTTGTTTGTCTTCCATGTATCTTGTCTTTAAATCCATCTTAGTACCGGTAGAGTTTCTTATTCTCAATTATTATAGATCAAACAATCTTGGCATCATGTTTTTAAAAAAGTCTGAAACTTTCCTGGTTTGTTTTGTGAAAAAAATTACTCAACATAGATATTCCAATTCATGATATTTGTTAGAGGGGAAGATTTATGGGGCCATGTTGATGATAACAACTCAACTTTTAACAAAAACAAATATAAGGAACAACGTGCCAAATAGGAGGTCATAAATGCTCAAGTTATGATATAGATTTTAGGATTTGTCGAATCTAACATCATTTGGAATCTTCAATCCTCCATCCTCTATGATTGCATCTGAGGTGTGGAATTATCTCAAGAGGCTTTTTAGTTAGCATAGCACTGTATATCGGTTCTAGCTGAATTTAAAGGCACTAAATCTAAACTTATGATTCAAGAAACTGCTCCTTCCTTAGATGCATGCCTCAATAAATGATCATTTCAACATTTTATGTTTTAGGACTCTGAAGTAAACCTTTCTCTCTATCATTTCATTGGCATTTTGATTCTACGACTTTTAACTAAATGATAAACATTGCCTATTACCTTACTAATATACATAACTATACTAACAATCTTAGGATTTATACCGTAAATGGCAACCAATTGACTATATGGCTGCTAGTGATATATCTCCTGGCACGACCAAAAGATTGATGTCTTCTCTCAAGTGTAGGAGTGTCGAAGTAATAAATAACTTGGCAAAACCGAGATCGAACTCCAGGGAGGCTAATTGTATAAATTATAAACAACAACAATAATAGTAATAATACCAATAATACTAAGAATAGTAGTAGTAGTAGTACTAATAATAATACTAATAGAAGAAGAGGAAAAATAAAAAGAAGAAGTTGATGAGAACTTTGAGATAGAAGATTAACGTAAGGATTAAACAATGATAACAATAAATGTCAATGTTAGAGGATCCACTAATGGTATTTCAAACAAGTATAGTATAAACTTTTATTTTTCAATTGGAAATTACACACATAGGAGGTTCCAATCAAATTATAAGTTGTTAATATGATTACCTTAGTTATCTTATTCGATTAATACTAATACTTGTAAATGTTGTCAGACATTCATGATTATAACTTATGTTAACAACAAATCAAGTTCCTTTCATAGTACAAATATTGGTTATACCATATAATAAGAGCTATGAAAGTGCCATGTATTTGTTGTACCAAGTGTTATATAATATAAATCTAGATTAGTCATTTAACAAGTAAAATATTAAAGACTCTAGATATAGGCCAAACACTGAACAGTTTTTGGGCTGTAGGATAGATTCAGACTTTTTTGTTGTTGCTATAATTTGAACTTGAAATTAGCCTTTTTAAATCTTGGGCTCTAATGAAACTTGTAGGCCCATGTCTTACCTTTTCATCTATATAAAGTAGACCTAAATCCAGGATCTACAACTCCAGATATAACCCAATTACTGAACAGTATTCCGGTTTGGACTGTACTAGCATCTCTTTTCTAAGTTTGGCCATCTCTTTATCCTTTCAATTTTAGTTCTTAAATTCATCAATCAATCCATCAATCAATCCTTTCATTTATGTGATAGGCCTGCATTTAAAATGAACATTTACCACAAATTAAAGGTATCTTATATTATTAGATATGTTATTATAAAATATGCTTTAATTAAGGAGTTATTGATACTTTAAGTGCAAAATGATAATATAAAACCTTGATAAAAATACACTTTTAAGTACTAATCACACCCCTCAACCAACTTATTACTAGTCCTTAGTAATCTAAGCATTAAAATAGGAAAATAATTTGTGAATTCCACAAAGTAAGTGATATTAATGAAA